ACTTTAGTCCCCGTATACCCAAAGCAACGTTTCCAAGTTTGCAACATTCAAAAAATGTATTATTTACTTCATATCTGGAAGAATTGTTTATGCGTAAAATTACCCACCGCGCAAAATTCCCCCACCTTCCCCTACATGAGTTTATTTTTAAATGTTTCAGTATGATATGAGTAGTAGACTGGCATGCAATAGTCTATAATAGGGTGTATATTAATGTTGAAACACTTTTGCACTTGGTGTTAGAATTTAGAACATACTTAAATTAATATAGTGATTTCAGCTTCATATAACACAAACTAAGTTGTCTTGTAACATGGCTTTCAAAGTTCAGGTTTGTATAAAAAATAACACCCAGATTTCTTGCTGAGGAATTTCTATATTATTTATATGTATGGTATTAAAATTATATTGTTTTTTTATTTATCATATATACTGTACCAATATTTATTACAAGACTCTTTTTGGCATTTAACTGAAGTCTATGATTAACTGACCAAGCATTTACTTCTTTTAAGACTTTATTTAATTCGATAGTGGTTGTGTTAATTAATTAACGGAAAATCTTTTTTAAATTTAATAAAATCAAGCTAAGAGTTGCTAATTTTTTTCATCAAAAGGCGTCTTAATAAAATAATAAAAAAAACTTAGACTGATACAGGTATTTGGTTTGTCTATGCAATAATACATGGGGTAACTTTTTGTTGCCATCTCAATTAAAATATATATTATACGTATATAAAAAATTTGTATATAAAAAAGTTTGGGCCCCCCAGGGCACCCTTAAATATTGGGCTAGAATGGCTATTTTTTTCTAAACATACTGTTAACATAAGGTTACTTTTTGTGGTTACCCCAATTAAAATATGAACAAAAAATATATTTTGGGCCTCCGGGGCACCCTTAAATTTTGGGCTAGTACGCTCATTTTTTTTTTGAATTACTGTTAATATAAGGTAACTTTTGTGGTTACCCCAATTAAAATATGATAAAAATAAATATTTTGGGCCTCCGGGGCGCATTTTTCCGTCTCCTATAGGGCTAGCGCAACCGAGTGCGCTAATCGTGTAGGATACGGAAGCGAGACCTGCATCTCCGTTCTCTAAGTGGTTAACATACGAATAAGCACTCTGCAATGAGCTTTCTAGGTGATATTTCTTTGTATGTACATATAAAATAATAATAATAATAACCAAACAAACAGATTGACGTATGTCTTAAAGGCGCGAATCATTGTATGCACGTTATAGCGCGATAAAACACTAGAGGCTAAATGTAGCAAAGTATCCCAAGGTTATGACGAATAGCTGTCATCTTGGTTATGCAGGTTCACTGCATTGTGCCATACAGAGGCGGATTAAATATCGAGAGCGCCCTAGGCAAGCACCTCATCGGCGCCCCTTTAGCGGCCATATAGTATAAATTTTAACTAGTACTTACATAATAATTAGCTGTGCCCTGCGGTTTCACCCGCGTGATGCCCCATACCGTGGAAATTTTGGTTTACAGCTATCTACATACCAAGTTTTATCACAATCGGTTTTGTAGTTTTTGCACGAAGAAGTAACAAACACACTTTCGCAGTTATAATATTATCAGGGTAAGTACACGTGTCCTGGCGTATACTTATAATTAGGTATAGGCCAGGACACGTGTACTTACCTTTAGGCGTGAATGAAATATGTGATATACATTTCTATAGAATTAACTTCTACAACATCTTTTACATGTTAATGTTAATTGTATGTTAATTAGGAGTACCAATACAGACGGCCAGTCGAGTAAATGTGCTCTCGAGTTCGATCGCTCTTAAGTGTACCGAATAATAAGAAACATAAAAATCGCTCATATATAGTGTAGTTTAAGGAAAATAAGGGGCGAAATTAGAGCAAAGATTTACTACTTGGACAACGAAAATCAGTGTACCTGTTGTCCAAAGTCTTAATAGAAACATTAAATTAGTGCATTATAAAGCAACCCCCACAAGTGAATATAGTGAATACGGACACGGAAGTAATTAAGTGATAAATGACGGCATACCTGAAGATCTAACCCTAGGCCAATATGAATCACCTTATGTAAGGAAAAAACTAGCGTAGAATGGAAGAGGTTCATCTGCAAAAATCTGATAAGTACCAATTAATCGCATGACCTAATACGCAAATTCGCAACAAAAACCTAACAATAATCAATCATTATTACTGAAAACAGCGTAACAGTGTAAATTATTCAATCAATAGGTGAGAACGTCACAAAACATAAATAAGCATAAACTTAGAGGCCAGCCCAAAAAAATTTAAATGTTTAAAACTTAACGAACGAAAATAAAATAAACAACCAGTTCCGATATTTGCCTAACTTAAACATAAACCACTAAACACCTCTAAATTTTAGACATTGCATGCTGCTAGCTGTATAAGAGAATTAAAAAAAGCAAAATTAAGAGCAATTATATAGAATAAATATTATAAATGTAACTTCTAATGGTTAGAAAAGAAAAAGAAAACGTAAATACAATTTCTACCACAAAATGAAGACAACTATCCATCAATAGTTCTCGACCCCTACACTGAGCCCCAAATAAATGGGGGCATTACTAAATCCCTGGTTAAGGGGGATTCCGGATTGTACTTAGTTTTGGGTCAGACCAATGTCACCCAAAAACCAAAATGTTTTTCCTTCTTGTCCCGTACTCCACTAGCCTTAATCTGGCGTATGGCCCGGCCCGACGAAAAAATTCCGGGAGTGGCCTTAACCATCCAAACTGTCATCCTCGACCTCCTAGGCGTTGCCGATGGGGCCTGCTATACGTTCCTTATACTCATACTCATACTCAATTTTAATTTTATGTTAATTATTTTCTTCGTTTCAAACTCACGTGCGCGTGCTGATTAAATAATCAAACCAATAAGTTGTAAATCTTTCTTTAATAAATACCTACTCAGCGCCCCCTTGTAACCTCGCGCCCCTAGGCACGTGCCTAGTTTGCCTTAGGGATAATCCGCCTCTGGTGCCATACCAAACCAACCCAAACTTAACAACCCAACCCGACCGACCCCGCCCCATTGGGCCCCTCCCGCCCCATTGAGCAATTATTATAGAGGTATAATATATCTAAGGGCAAGCTGGATTGTGACAATGGAGCGGGAGGAGCCCAATGGGGCGGGGTCGGTTGGGTTGGGTTGTTAAGTTTGGGTTAGTTTGGTATGGCACAATGCAGTGTACCTGCATAACCAAAATGAGAGCCAATCGTCATAACCTTGAGGAATACATTGCTACATTTAGCCTCTAGTGATAATACCTAATTACAGGCGGTGCGTTAACCACTTAGGGAACGGAGATACAGGTCTCGCTTCCGTATCCTACACGATTAGCGCACTCGGTTGCGCTAGCCCTATAGGAGACGGAAAAATGCCTCCGGGGCACCCTTAAATATTGGGCTAGTACGCTACATTTTTTTCTAATAAATTACTTTTAACATAAGGTAACTTATTGCTACCCAAAAATAAATATCTCAAATATTTTTTTTTACGTTTTTCGGCCCACCCTACTGCACATGCCCACGTCCTGAAAACACCAGAGGGAACAGGAACTGAAGCCGTCAAAATTCCCGCCCCTACCGGCTTCGCCAGGACCGTACTCGGTATAAAATATACACGAAGCAAAAATCTCGACGATCAATCCGCATTTTATAGCCAATCAAACAGCAAAGGTGGCAAACGACCCCAGGATATTTCTTAAATTAAAAAATTAAAGAAGTGGAATGGGATGCCTGTTTGGATACCTGAGCTATATATTCATATATCGGTAAATCCGTGGTCGAAGATCTATCAAATCAACCGGTCACTAGGGCCTACACCCTGGGTTGTCAATTTGACAACAAATATACCCAACACCAGTTCTATTATCTACCAAATTTGGTGGAAAATATTATTTTGGGGATGGATTTTATATCCAAGTATAAGATATTGAAAAAGCCACCCAAAATAAACCAAAAAAACTAAAAAAGTCCGGCCCTGTTGTGCTTGACTCCGACAAACCTGCTACCCGAAGAACAACATAAAGTGGCCGAATTTTTAAACAGTGAATTAAGGGCGTTACCAGGATGACTCAACATGAGACGTCTCCAGGAGAATACCAGGCCCATTAAGTAAAGGTTTCGTCCGCAGAATCCAGCCATAATGAAAATTATTTACGACGAAGTTGATCGAATGTTGTCAGAAAGAATAATCGAGCCCTTGGAATTCACCAACTGTAATTGCAAAGAAAGCAAATGGAGAGCATCGATTCTGCATTGACTTTCTAAAAGTAAACGAAGTTTCAATCAAGGATTCATATACGTTGCCACAAGTACATGCGATTTAGACAAACTAAGGGAAGCAAAAATATTTCTACTTTAGATTTGCGGCAAGGATACTGGCAACGCCAGAAAGCAAACCCATTTAATGTAATACAGCCTTTTCGGTAGTGAATTAAATGGAATTTATCAAACTATAATTTAAGCTTTAATATTGTTAACGCTCCCCGTTTAGTATTCGATTATTTCCTAATCTGTAAAATAATTTAGACCAATTTTTACATCCTAGTCTATAAAAACTGATAAAAGCTCTAAGCCATCTAACCTCACTTTATACTTAATAATTGAAGCGTTGAGTGGATAAAGGTGCTATGTCAATAAAGTCTAGTTTTGAGAAATGAAGGTTAAAAGATTATTGATTGGAACTTTTGTATAAATAATTAAACTGTATGCAGTAATGTACTAAAGGAATTATGAAAAAATAATTCACTTGTCACCATTTTTTTTAAATATGGTGGACATAACACCTTTTTCCAAAATATTTTAAAACATTACGTGGTACTAAGTGATAAATGCGTTATGAAAATTGATCAGTTTGTATTAAATCATTGAATATATATTACTCAACTGATATAAAAAATCTCAGATAGTTTTTCTTTTCTTATTTTTGTTTCTTATCATTCTCAGGCAAAACCTCTTCATAAAATCAACGATACTCTTCCTTGACATACATCAGCGGTTCTTGCAAGTTTTCTATTTTCGCTTCGGACAGGCTTCCCTTTTTTTCTTCTATTCTCGTTATGGTAACTTCTTCTCTGGCAACTTTCCTATTTCCTGTTTTCAAAACATTCAATTTCATAAAAGGGTCAGCTTCATTTAGTGTCTCTTTGTACATGTGGGTTCTATACTCCTCCACTCGAAGCCACTTGATGCTATCTCTGAATTTAACTTTTTGGTGTAATGTATTATTTTTTTTGTTAATCAAATGAAGAGTTTGTCCAAGTCCAGTGTTTTTAGGGCTAGCGTTTCTAAAACTTCACTGAACTGGTCCGGTACATAAACATTCTCCACAAGCCTGAGTTTCTGTTCAATCCGGCCAAAATCTCTGTCTGAGTCAAGGTAGTCAGGAAATGTATGGTCAATCACCTCAAACCATCCATTAAAAATAAAAAATTGATAAAGGCAAATCATGTTGAAGTTCTTGTTTTGGCCACAACACGAATCCGACCAGATCACAAGATGCTTGATTCTGTCGTCATGTATATCTTTCAGTAGCTGAACAAACCTAAGCAAGCAACTACCAATTTCTAAGCTGCCTCTTCCTGTCCAGTCTTCTGTCCAGTTGAAGAAAAATGTCTGATGTCCCTTAGTAGTGATCGTGTGAACTCCAAAGTTATAATACCACATTTGCCGAAGGTAAAAGGGTTTTGATGGTGTTAACTTCGGCAGTGGCATTGTTTGTTGCAGGTCCATGGTCACATAGCATACACTAGCATTCTCAGTGGCAAACTGTCGATCTAAACGTTGTTTTTTGAAAGCCATTTTTCTTGTTCTTCAGACCCTTGCCCAGAATCGCACGTAGAAGTGTCACTTTTCAGATTTCCAAAAGACAAGTAAAACCTCGTTGAAAAAATTTTACTGTAGGAGCTACGCTTACACTTGTATCGCTCAGGAAGTTGCTGCTCATCACACTCCTGTAGGTAGAGTTGGTACATGATACTAATGTTTATTGTCGGTGACAGGTACATATTATGCGGATTATGGTTTCTTGAGTAATGAGACGCCTCGTCTGGGAATTTATTTATGTCACTGATAATGAAGTTGATGACATCTTCCCTGAGCTTATGTGGCCTTGTTAAATCGTGTCCTCTTCTATCGAGCGGGGACCCTTCAGCTTTCTCTGGATAACTTCAACTTTTTTTCTAAATTGGTACAGGGATCACAGAGCTTCTTTACATACAGTTTCAACTTTTTTGTTATACGTTACTGAGTATTTAAAGCTATTTTGTTTAGGGTTCTTTGCATTCACTCTGTGTCTTTCCACCGGTGTGATATGCATACTTCTGTGGGTAAAAGGCATAAGGGGATAAGTCAAAAAAAAGGAATTTTTCAGTAGAGCCTTAAACGTATTCGCATTAATTTAAATATATTTATGGTTAGCGGGTATACCCTTTTGTTAGCACATGTCATATCCTAAAAAAGCGTATACCCGCTAAACATAAATATATTTCCTGAATTAATGCGAACACGTTAAAGCTCTATTGAAAAATTGCTTTTTTTGACTTATCCCCTTATGCCCTTTTACCCACAGACTTTTGAACAATAAAGTATTCTTGGCATTTACATCTAAACTATAATACTTTTTCATTATTCTTTCCCGATCCTCCGGACTGAATTTTTCCGAGCACTTAAGCCGACAACTTTCCTTACACAATGATCCAAGTTTTATCTCTTTTTGAGGCATCATTTTTCCTTTCTGAGACAAATAACTCTCTCCTCTTTCACGCGCCTTTGCAGCTTTTTGTCTTTTCCAAGAAAGAGGGTCCCTTTCCTTTTTCTGTCAAAGTGTTGCTTGATATTGTATTGAGCTTACCTATGATTTGCAAAAATAAATATTATTTTATTCTGGTAATTTTGACAAAATCTGGCAACACTGCAAATGTGGCAATGTCGCATTATATTTGATATTTTTCCCTCCGTATATGACGTCACTTCCGTCTCGTGTCGAGGTTTCTATTTTTACTCCCGATTCCTACACGTTCTCTTCCACTTAATCCTTGAAATTGAATCCTCGACTCAAGTATAGAGCATATAATATTAATTTTTACATGGCCCAAACACCTCCACAGAAATAGAATGAATAACATTCATCAGCACAAAATTTGAAAGCTCGACTCAAGTGTAGAAATCAAAACATACATAAACTTTGACTGCGAATACTTCAGAGAGGTATTGAGAATCTTAATCCGTAGAGAAGTATTCGGCACCTTAAATTTCGTATATCGGATTCCTATTCATCACAAAATATTCAATGACTATGAAGGTAAAAACGTCGACTAAGTATAAGAGCCGAAAAGTATTCGGACACATGAGCTGCGAATATAAAAGGTCAACTCTTGAATAGAACCAGATTCAGGTCCATAGAACATGAATACAGCCAATATTTTTTCATTTGCAGTGTAGAATGTACCTTCTTTTGATTTCCTGGCATTTTCTTCCAAAGCTAACTCAACCAAATGTCTGCCTCTCGATTTACCTCTTAAATCCATATTAAAATAACTTATATTAAACCAAAACTCTCGAAAACTGAATGGATATTTCATATAACATAACCTCAAATTCACTTTTAGGTGTGCTGTGAATTGATGAAGGTGCTATATAACATATGTTACCATAACACCTTTATCCACCCATATGTGAATAACACCTTTATCAAAAAATTATTTGATTTTAAAGCTATAAATCAGGCAAACGGTCAAGAAAATATCTAAATTAGGAATTTATATGAATAATAGAGCACACAGGCAAAAATTTCCTAAAATGTGGCATAGCACCTTTATCCACTCAACGCTTCAATTGTTATTATAATAAGTACGTTTTATGTATCGTTTAACAAATAAAACTGTGCCTTGAAAATAAAATGATTTATGCCATTAGGCTGAGTCGTGTCTTTTTGTGCTAACGCGTCGGCTTTCAAACTTTGAGCTCAGCAAAAAAATACTCACTTCTCAGCTTTATGAAATAAATAACTAATATCGTAAATTGTTAAGAAAATTTTTTGTAGAGCTTTTAATTTCGTATTGGATATTGCTGTATAAAATATGTTTACACCAACATTACTTTAGGCTACTTACATAAGGAATACCCTAAAGTTTATTCCTTATGTAAGTGCACCATGGTGCTATATAAAAAATATTACACTCAGTGATTCAGCGAAGATTCAAATCATGGGGGTTTTATTTTTTTATACTGCCGACTTTTTCAAAGATTTTTCCTACTGCAGCAATTTTTTATGGGTGTAAGATTAAAAAATAATTATACTTAGTGCAAATACGTTTTAGATAGTCGGCATTAGCTGCAGCTACAGTTAAAACTTTCGAAAATGCCGACGGATGAATTCTCAGAAAAATGAGGATCTAAAATCACTTTAGTATATTTAACAACTTTCAACTAAATAATTTTCGGAAAATGACGATTTTTTTGCATAATCACCTTAATTTCGTTTGCATTCCTTCAAGTATTATCGGAACCTCAGAAAAGGCTCCCTGCACCAAAATAAACCTTCATTTATATTCATCAAGTTGACTGCCACTTAAGTGTATACATGTATACTAGGGTGGTCCTTAATAAGGTTATTTTCAAATTTCTTTGCTCCCAGGGGCTCAAATGCTTCCAAATTAATAAAAAAAAATTCCCTGAAAATTTGAGCTCTTAATTTTAACTCTAAGATAGTGCGCATTCCAATCTAAGTTTCCTATGGAAATAACATAGGAAAAATTACTTTTGTTGTTTATAATTTTATAACTTGGGAACGAATAAATTAAAAATTATAAATCATACATATTTTTATAGAGAATTTAACGCTCTACAAAAAAAGGTCTCCTATAATTTTTCCATTAGTCTATTTGTTTAAAAGTTATTCAACGTCAAAGTTTAATTTTCATATTATTATTAATATTATCAAGGCTTTTTTATGAGGCGCCGTTTGTGTCAAAATTAAAAGTGCTAAATAAATTTTGTTTTATAAATAATTAATTATATGCTTTACCAAATAATTTTTTTATAAAATTATTTTTTTATAAATTTTTTTTTTTAAATTTTGTAAAATAATTTTTTTATAAATTTTTTTTTGTAAATAATTTTATAAAATAATTTTTTTATAAAATAATTTTCAATTCGAATTAAAAATTATTTAATAAAAGACGACGGGCGCATTTATAAATTAATTTTTACTGCAGCCATCTCTATTTGTTTGTAGACACTCGAGTAAACCCGAGTAATCCCGAACGCCCCTCCCCAGATACAATTTTATGACTGACTGGGCTTTTGTTTGACGCAATTTGGGGAAACGATTGAAAATAATAATTTATTATTTTTATTCATTAATTTATTAATTTTTTTATCTACATTTATTTTGATTTTTAGTTTTTAACAAGAATTCTTTATGTTTAAACGTTTTTTATAAGAAAGCACTTGTTAAAAACTAAAATAAATAAATAAAATAATTCTCTTGAAAACAAATTAAAATAAATAAACCAATTCTCTTAAAACAAAACTAAAAATAATAAAAAATAATTTTATAAAAAAGAATTATTTTATAAAAAAATAATTTTTAAAAAAAATAATTTTATAAAAAAATAATTTTATAAAAAAATTTAGAAAAAAAAATTAAAAAAAAAATTATTTTACAAAAAAATAATTTTATAAAAAAATTATTTTTTAAAATTTTTTAGAAAAAAAAATTTTTTTTTAAATTATTTTATAAAAAAATAATTTTATAAAAAAATTATTTAGTAAAGCATATAATTAATTATTTATAAAACAAAATAAGTTTATTTAGCACTTTTAATTTTGACACAAACGGCGCCTCATAAAAAAGCCTTGATAATATTAATAATAATATGAAAATTAAACTTTGGCGTTCAATAACTTTTAAACCAATAGACTAATGGAAAAATTATAGGAGACCTTTTTTGTAGAGCGTTAAATTCTCTACAAAAATATGTATGATTTATAATTTTTAATTTATTCGTTCCCAAGATATAAAATTATAAACAACAAAAGTAATTTTTCCTATGTTATTTCCATAGGAAACTTAGATTGGAATGCGCACTATCTTAGAGTTAATATTAAGAGCTCAAATTTTCAGGGAATTTTTTTTTATCAATTTGGAAGTATTTGAGCCCCTGGGAGCAAAGAAATTTGAAAATAACCTTATTAAGGACCACCCTAATGTATACACTTAAGTGGCAGTCAACTTGATGAATATAAATGAAGGTTTATTTTGGTGCAACATGACAAGTTAAACTTATCGAATTTAATCAAATTTAAGTTGGACTTGGCGTTAAGTTATGGTTGGTGCAAACAGGCTTTTAGGTGCAAGATTACGGGAGCTTATATTGATTTAGAATATTTTATATTTTTTAGAAGTTAAATGCAAACATATTCCATTATATTGTTTAAAGATTTCAAAGGATAGGGTCCAGTTTTTAACTCGTACACGTGTGTGTAAATGACGATTTGCATCTATTAAAATGTCAATTTTATGAATCACCATTTTTACTAAGAAACATTGTAACATTTGAAACTTTCTAAAAATTGTAATAATTTCTGTAAACCAATATTAGACTTTTTGTTTGAGACAGAATCCACAACAATATTATATCTACCTACTACTACTACCTATCTACTACTTTCTTGTTAAATATTTAGTTTAGTTTGATATTATTAAAGAATAATTAAAACGTTTGTATTCAAAAAAATTCTAATTAACTACATTCCACATCGGGGAGTTACGCGAGTGCAATCCAACACAGGCTGTT